GTACTTGGACAAGTATCAGTACTTGTATCTGTGAGTACTTGGACAAGTATCGGTACTTGTATCTGTGAGTACTTGGACAAGTATCAGTACTTGTATCTGTGAGTACTTGGACAAGTATCGGTACTTGTACTTGGAAAACTGGTATCGGTGCATCCCTTATATACCGTATTTTGCGCTCCATAAGGCACACCTGACCATAGGACGCAGGGAGGTTAGGGTTCTGTGACAGCTGTAGTTAGTGACAGCTGAGACAGGTGGCGCTGTGATTACGACACCACGGTCTCAGTGATCACACAGAGCAGACGAAAAACGGACGGTCTTTGTCTGCTCTACGGGCTCTATGGTGAGCTTCAATGCCGTGGTCACGGGTCCCTCAGAGGAGCAGGGGACTCCGAAAACCACGGCGGGGGGGGGGAGCAGGGCTAAATGTACAAAAAAACTACTCGCCCGGCGCCCGAAACTGCATGTCCCGGGCGTCGGGCGATAGGGATTCGCTCCATAAGACGCACAGACATTTTTGCCCGCCTTTTGGAGGGAAAAAAGTGCGTCTTATGGAGCGAAAAATACGGTATATATTTATAAAAACAAAATCATACATTAAAACCGAGATGTACAAATCCCAGGAGCTCCGTGTGCTCCTTACACATGACAGCTGCCTCCTAACTTTGGTACTTGGTATCGGTGCATTCCTAGTATGTATATATATATGTATATGTATGTATGTATGTATGTATATTGCGATTTTGTAATTTCTCGGGCTTCCCCTGCAGGGTTTTGGTGCATCACGGGGATTTATTAAAAGAAAGCCATTTCAGCTACAGAAGTATTGATATATCAAAGCAGCTGAAATGACACCGTCGCTCTTCTCGCGCTGCAACAAACATACGTTTTCCTTTCATTTCGCAAATTCAAAACCGCACTTCATAGTTACTGCGTGTCAGTAACACATCACAAGATGGAGACACACAGTGACACGCCGAGCACATGTAACAACCCCGAGGCCTTCCCTGCGTCCCATTGGTATTTATTGTGTGGCCCTCAGGCCCCAGCAGCTCATAATGAGAGTATTGATTGGTAAAGGACTGCCTTTAACCGTCTCCTGCAACATGTTGCCAGTTTCTAACCACATCTATAGTATGTCCTCAGTCTCTGACCCCTCTTGTAATATGGATCTAGTCTATCTATCTGCTGTATTAGGTGCACAGTCTCTGACAATCTCCTGTAGTATGCCTATAATCTCTGACTATCTCCTTTATTAGGTGCACAGTCTCTGAGAATCTCCTGTAGTATGTCACCATTCTCTGACCCCCTCCTGTAGTATCTGCGAAGTTTATAGCAATCACCTGTAATATGTAACCAACTTCTGACATCCTTCCATTTTATGCCTGTCCCCAGTCTCTGACAATGACCTGTAGTCTGTCCCCAGTCTCTGACAATGACCTGTAGTCTGTCCCCAGTCTCTGGCAATGACCTGTAGTCTGTCCCCAGTCTCTGACAATGACCTGTAGTCTGTCCCCAGTCTCTGACAATCTTCAATAGTATGTTCTCAGTCTCTGACAATCTCAGATAGTATGTCCTCAGTCTCTGACAATCTCAGATAGTATGTCCTCAGTCTCTGACAATCTCCGATAGTATGTCCTCAGTCTCTGACAATCTCAGATAGTATGTTCCCAGTCTCTGACAATCTCCGATAGTATGTTCTCAGTCTCTGACAATCTCCTATAATGTCCCAAGCCTCTGACAGTCTCTGATAGTATGTCTCCAGTCTCTGACAATCTCCTATAATGTCTCCAGTCTCTGACAATCTCCTATAATGTCCCGAGCCTCTGACAGTCTCTGATGATATGTCCCGAGTCTCTAACAATCTCCTGTAGTATGTCCGGTGCTGGGCGTGAGCCTCGATCAGTACCTGTGTCCTGACAGGTTCCGTGTAAACATGGAAGCGTGTGATCTGACATAATACATATGTGACTGTATAAAGCTGACTACACGAGTTACAATGAGATTCCACCACTATGTACTGCTACGGCCTCCTGGGACCTGACGGCATAGAAATTGGATGGAATGTTTTGTTAGGTTGCTGCTGAATCTAATAAAGATTGCGCAATCAGATTGTGATGTGTCCAGCCAGTATAAAGCTGAGCCCCAGGCAGATAGAAAAGACACAAACCAATGCAGCTCTGTATTCATTCATACATCATTAGGGCCCATTTAGACCCAAACCGCACCAATGCGGCATACAACAACACATGTAAAAGGCACATGCATTTACATGTTTTTTCAAGAAATGTTTACATGCGTTGCAGCCCGCTTTGTTTTTTCAAGATTCAATGCAATGCGCTGGTGTGAACTTCACCATTGAGAACCACTATTTTTTGTGTATATGTGTTTTTAATATGTTAAAAAAACGCATCAAAATGCATTGGGGTGGGATTGGGCCCTTAATGTATTCTTTTTAAATGCAAGCAGAGTACGTACCTGAACTTGACTTGGTATCAACATCTTGTAGCCTTCTGTACAGGAGAGCTTAGACTGGTAGAGGAATAAGTAGTACAAGGAACCAATCAGGAGTGCTGCAGTGCTGGTGTGCTAACAAGTTACATGCTGATAGGGGAAGAGAACATTGTGACAGAGAGATGAGCTTGTCAGTCTTCTGCTTCTCTTTCACTGTCCAATCACAGGCTGGGGGAGGGACAGGACTTCTAAATGTTGCGGAACTCCAGCAGAGAAGTTTTAGGTCTCCTGCCCTGCCAGACAGCACTGTGCTGGGTGGCTTAGCTGTGTAAATCGCAGGACTGGATGGACAGAAACAGGTAAAAGCTCTCCTATATATATATATGTGTGGTAAATGTGAACGTCGCTATTTGGCTGAAGTTCAGCTTAAAGTCATCTAATCACCTAATGGGACTGCCGTGTGACAGCCCCTGGCGATAGTTCTGCATATCCCACCAAGGTGAGGTCTGATTCAATAGTCCGATGTTATAATGGATATTGGAGCTGACGTGCCATGCAGAATGCAATTAGGGAAAGGGGTGCAACAGGTCCGAATGCTGCTTGCTACAATCTTGCAACAAAGGTCTAGTTGGCTGGTGGTAATGCGGGAAACAAAGCAAAGGCAATCATTGATGATGGCATAAAATGTGATCCTCAGGCCCATTAGCCTTCAGAGGGAGAATCTTCTCAATCAGAGGTTTAATTTGTGATCATGTCATCATTAACAAAAGCTCTTAAAATGTTCATCTGCTATGCTGGGGGTTGTAGTTCCACAAGCGTTGTACACTGAGCCACATGTTATCTGCCCTGAGCAAGCTGCCATACTTGTATACTTTCACTGATGTCCAGTCTTCCATGCACGGTCCCCCTCCAAAGTCCCCGGTCCCTTGGTCGCCCCCTCCAGATTAAAGTGTATCAATACGCAGGAACAAAAATGTAACATATTGCAGTTTAAGGCCCTTTTCACATTGGTGGTCCCCCTCCACAGTCCCCGGTCCCATGGTCCCCCCTCCAAAGTATCAAAACGCAGGAATGAAAATGTAACATATTGCAGTTTAAGGCCCTTTTCACATTGGTGGTCCCCCTCCAAAGTCCCCGGTCCCTTGGTCGCCCCCTCCAGATTAAAGTGTATCAATACGCAGGAACAAAAATGTAACATATTGCAGCTTAAGGCCATTTTCACACTGGTGGTCCGATCGGGTCAGCCTGTCATTGTTTCAAGCGGACTCGATCAGATGCCCAATGTTAGTCTATAGGCAGCTGGGTGTAAACAGACAGGCATCTGTTTACACCCGGTTGCCCCCGACTCCGGCCAGGTCTGGAAAAACAAACACATCAGAGATCCGTTTTGCCGTACCTGATTGTGCCAGATCGGGGGGTAATCTGATGTAAACGGACACATGTTGTTTACATCCGATTCCCCATAGACAGACATAGGGTCCGGTCATTTCAGTTTTCTCTTCAATCACTAGATGGAGGAAAAAACTGGACGCACATGAAGGTCACAGCTGTGACATTCATTCTGTACTGCTCAGATCAGGAGAAGATCCATGCACTGATCCCCTCCTGATCAGCCCGTGTGAAAGGGGCCTAACAGTGCTTAGTTTACTTTCTTCTAATGCAGAAAATCCTGTTGATCCTGCCAAAAAATCAATGTCACTTCCTGTGCACGCAACTGAAATCTCACATGATAGCTGTAACAGCTAGCTCCTGCGAACTACAGAACACCTCTCCCCATGAGAGGTGTTCTGTAGTGCTTGTAGATCAAATTAGAAGAGCAACCTACAAAGACAACAATGCTCCTCCATAGATTTGCTCTCGGGTTTAGATTTCATTTGTGCAACTTTTGTCATCAATGAGGTATATGTCTGCCATGCTGGAACTTCTGGTCCTGCACCAGTTGCACGCTGACCTCCAGGTTATCTGATCTATCTATTCATTGATGTCCAGTCTTCTAGGCACCCCCTCCCCCCGAAGCATAACGTTATGTTAACAACATTACATTCTAGAGCCTAAACAAACCCCCAATACGTTTCAATGGGAGATTTAGTGACCTGTGTCCGGCCCACGAGGACTGGAGTTGGACAGTTCTGGATTTTTATTATTTTCTAAGACTCAGAAGACAATAGGGTTGTCCAATCCAGTCTTCCAGGGTCATAGACCTTCCACATTTTTCTCCAGTTAATAGGCACTAATGAATTGTGGAACATCCTGCTTAATAAGCCGAAATCCCTGGCCTGACAGTGGCCCTCGAGGACCCGAGTTGGACGGCCTTCCCTCGCAGTGTACAATGCCCTGTTGCTTGACCCTCCAGTGACAGAGACCGGCAGTTCATCTTGGCTAGAGTTAAACAAGGCGGCATTGGCTGGCTTCATTCACATCTATTATTGACATCGGGTATGCCAGATCTGCCTGCCAGTGTCCAGCCCTCACCTGATCCGGCACCTGCTGCCGTCCACGCTCTCCATTCACACTGTACCACAGTTCATCCGCGCCATCCTCCTTACCTTTCCCTCCGGAGGTCTGACGAGCCGATGAATGGATGGCAGCTGCGAATGAATGAGCAGGACCCCCACCGTGCGAGCCAGGCATGGACCCCCGGATTTAAAAAAAAGAAGAAGAAAATGATGACCCCTTCAGTCTGTTGATGCCAAAGAGGAGGAGAGCTCCCGCACTGCTTCAGTTGTTGCTGCTCCAGGGGGAGAAAAGATTAGGGGGGGCAGAGAAGAGGGGGGGGGTGAAATCCAGCGTATGGAGGGGACGCGTATAGATGATTACAGAGACAGAGCAGCAGAGGAGAGACTGGGAAGCCCGGGGAAGGGGGAGTGCGAGGAGAGACGGCTGTGTCTAATGACAGACAAACACTGCACTGAGCCTCTCTGTGTCACACACTCGTACACGTACAGGCGTGTAAAGCGACCACACCACCTCCGATGAAGGCGGCTAATTTCCAGCAGCATCAGAGCCACTGAAATGTTATGCGGTGAGCAACAATGCCACACTGCCCTGAAATACCCCTGATAAAGATCTCAATGCCCATCGTCGCTGCAATTCATATTTCCACCAACTGGAGATGCAACAATCCATCATTATGGCTGGAATACATACATAGCTGTCTTGCCTCCCAAACGTTTTGTAAATCTATTCAGCCATGTGACTCACACTACCCCTGCCACACTGCACAGCCAGCACGTCACTTCTTGTGTCACCTGCCTGCTGATTGGATGGTGAATGAGCATCATTGCTTTGGTTTTCTTTGTGACTCTTAACACCTACTTCTCTTTACAGTGCCGGAAACATGTTAGATCGGCAGCAATTTGTAATAAAATCATATTGAGAGACAGAGAGATGAGGTAGGGAGTGGGGAAAAGAGGGAGAGAGGAGATAGAGAGGGAAAGAGAAGAGAGGTAGACAGAAGATAGAGTGAAGGGAGAACATAGGGATGGAGATAGAGAGGGAGAAGAGAAGGTAAAGAGGGAGGAGAGAGGGAGAGAGAGAAGAGAGGCGATAGAGAGTGAGGGAAAGAGAGAGGAGATAAGTAGGGAGAAAGATGAGAAGGGGAATAGAGGAGGAGGAAGGGAGGGAGGGAAGAGAGTGCAGAAGAGAGGAGAGAGAAAGAGGGGAGAGAAGGTAGAGAGGGAGGGGGAGAGAGAGAAGAGAGGAGGAAGAAGAAAGTGAGGACGAGAGAGAGAGAGAGGAGATAGGGAGGGAGAGGAGAAGGAGAGGGAGGAAGTTGAGTAAGAGAGAGGAGGGAGAGAGAAGAGAGAGTGGGTGGAGAGGAAGAGAGGAGGTAGAGAGGGGGGCAAAGAGAAGAGCAGGGAGGGAGAAGAGAGAGGAGAAGGTGAGGAGAGGAGAGAAAAGAGAGAGCAGAGGAAGTGAGAGAGGGACACAGAGAAGAGCGAGTAGGAAGAGAGAGAAGGTGAGGAAGGGAGAGAGAGGGTGGAGAGAAAAGAGATGGGGAGGGAGAAAGAGAGGAGAGAGAGAGGGAGACAGAGAAGAGCGAGGAGGGAGACAGAGGAAGGAGAGAGAAAAGAGAGGAGAAGATGAGTGTTAAGAGAGGAAATGGAGAAGTAGGAGGGCAGAGAGAAGAGAGACGAGCTAGAGAGAGGAAAGAAGTAGAGACAGAGGAGGAAGAGAGAGAGAAGGGAGAAAGCGGTAAAGATGGTATCCCACTTTAAAAGACACTTTTTTCCCCCTGTTTCTGTGTTCAAAATCTAACCATTTGGGTTCTTTCTGAAATGTATTTTGTACATCCTCTGATTTCAGTATTTTCGCGGGTCTCTGAGCTAAAAGGCGTATGCTGCAAGTGAAGTTGGAACTCCATATTCTTGTTTGCGTTGTTATCTCAATGTATAAAAGCCAAAGGATCAGAAGGATGACAGTTGAGGAAGTCGCATCTAAGAGGGCAAGCATACAACCTCAGCACTACACAGGCACACAGTATGTTAGTTATATGGACAGGTTTTCCGGTGTTGTGTATATGGATGGGGATGACGATGCATTATTATACATATATTAGGAAACGGCTCCATTTAGCCTCCCTGCCTGCATTTGACTCTCCACACTGTACAGAAATAGGAAGTGTGAACTTGCAAAGTCACACACACACCATCACAAGCCCTGACGCACAAGGAGACCCATTCTAGGCTCTGCTCCCTTAACACACATTGCATTCATATTCAGGCTGGTGGTGGGCTGTATGCAAGAGCTAGAAGTCCCAGCATTCACCACTCAGTTATGTACAGTTATAAATCACTGGTAATCCTCCAGAGCAAACTGCCTATAGAAACAAAATAATATAATATTTACAATATTTCTCAATGGGTTCCCCCATTCTTGTGCCGAGTTCATAGGTCTGCACAACCGGTGTGCCCGTTATGAGGGGTCCCTCTCATTCTTGTGCCGAGTTCATAGGTCTGCGCAACCGCTGTGCCCGTTATGAGGGGTCCCTCTCATTCTTGTGCCGAGTTCATAGGTCTGCACAACCGCTGTGCCCGTTATGAGGGGTCCCTCTCATTCTTGTGTCGAGTTCATGGGTCTGCACAACCGCTGTGCACATTATGAGGGGTTCCCAGATCTGCACACTTTCTGTGCTCATTAGAAGTTGTTCCCACCATTCCTGTGCTGAGTTCCTGGCTCTGCACACCTGATGTGATCATCATGACGTGTTCCACCATTCCTGTGCTGAGATCTCAGGTTTGTACACATGCTGTGCCCATTATAAGGGGTTCCTACCATCCCCACACTGAGTTTCCAGGTCTGCCCATTATGAGATGTTCTCTCCATCCCATTGCTGCGTTCCCATGTCTGCTAAGCGGCTGTGCCCATTATGAGGGGTTTCCCCTATCTCTGTACCGAGTTCCTGGGTTTGCAAATCTGCTGTTCCCATTATGCGGGGTTTCCACCATCCTTGCACTGAGCTCTCTGATCTACGCGGGGTTTTAAAATCCCTGGTGCACTTTTATTTATTTTATGTTAAAGACCAGATACAGTAGCAGAAAAAAAGGGTGCAAAGACCACTCTGAATAATAATTCACTTTTGAATGGACTGACCCTGAAAAACTTTCCAGAGTTTATTGGAAATGAAATTCCTCCCTGCGCACAACAGGCAAATTGTCACTGACAACAACTGATGGGCACTGCGGACTTCTCAGCTGGAAGTGGAAGAGCTATTAGTAGCACTCAGCTGCCCAGCCAGCGTAAATGAAATATCAAATGTATCAGATTTTGTTTAAAAACAGGGACATTCTCTTCAGACAATTGGATTTTTACTAATTTTCACCCCTTTTATTTATCTTGTTATATCACTCTCTTCCTCTGTCTGACCATCTCTGCCAATTGTCTTTTTAATATGTTTCCTGCTCTCTGCACATCTGTCTGTTGTCGCTGCACCTCTCTCCTCACTCTTTCCTTTTCTCTCCCCCTTTTCAATCTCTCTCTCTCCTCCTTCTCCTCTCCCTCCCTCCCTATCTCCTCTCTCTCTCTCGTCCTCACTTTCTTCTTCCTCCTCTCTTCTCTCTCTCCCTCTCTCTCTCTCCCTCCCTCCCTCTCTCCCGTACTATGATAGGCCCCAGTCCTAAATGTGGGCACCAAACCCCTGAAATTACTCAACCAGAAAATGGAAAATTTTTACATATGTTTAAGTACAAATTTGCATTTTATTAATAGATTTTAAAAGTAATGTACACATATATACAAATGTTAAAAACAAAGCAGTCTCTGTGAAATGAGTAGATATATCTCCTATAAACCCACCAATTAGAATGTTCATATCACATGATCACTGTTCTATCAGGAGTATGACAAGTCCATCATTAGTAGGTTGTTAATTGCGTAGTATGAACCACGTGAACACGGAGAAGGGGGTCAGAGGAATGGACGGCAACCCACGTCCGCTTCTTTCTATCTTTCCTTCCTTCCTCTTTCTTTCCTTCCTTCCTTTCCTCTCCTCTCCCTTCCTTCTTTCTTTCTATTTTTCTTTCTTTCTATCTTTCCTTCCGTCCTTTCCATCTTTGTTTCCTTCCTTCCTTCTTTTCTTTCTTCTTTCCTTCCTTACTTCTTTCATTTCCTTCTTTCTTTCTTTCCTTCCTTCATTTCTTTTCTCTATTTCTTTCTTTCTTTCTTTCTTTGTTTCTTTCTTTCTTTCTCCCCTTTATTTTTCTCCCTCCTTTCTCTGTCTTGCAAGGTTTTTCTTCCCCCCTTCTCTCTCTCTCTCTCTCTTGCTCTTTTTCCTCACATGCTCCGTGTCTGATCCTCCGTATCTCTTTAGTGGGTAATCTGTCGCTCTTGTTTTCCGCGTCTCTCTCATTATCTGAGTCTCTTTTCTCTTCTGTGTCTTCTTTGTTGCAATGTTTGTCGTTGTCTCTATTGTTTGCTGGTGTGTATTGGATATTATAACCTTCAGACTGTCACCCCCTCTGTAATTACCATCAGCAGCTCTGACTCCCCATCTGTGCGCACAATGCCATCCGCCACCCACCTCTAACACCCAGCACGGGACCAAAAAACGACTAGCAGTCACCAGTAAAATCACAAATGTTATAAGTAAAACGACTCAGAGATAAAGACCGCCGCTGATATTTTATTTATAACTTGGATGAATAATCACTTTTTGGCAAATGGTAAAACTTTTTCTTATACAGCAACTGCAGGCAAGAAGAAAAAGCAATCAGTGATCCTGTGCAGAACAAAATATATAGCTCAGACAGATTCAGCTTTGAGTAGGACTGCAGACTCTTGTTACATGATTTCTGTCTGAAAAACTACCAAGGGCGGGATGGACAAGATAAATATGACTGATCGACTGTGTTTTCAATTGATATTTATAGTTGATAGTAAGGTGCCTGCTGAGTTGGGCATTGGTGGATTGCATAGATCTCAGATTACAGCTGACTGGCTGTCATGCTCATCCTTAGCCAATGCTTTGTGTCACTGCACAAAATGATGCAGAGCCAAAGAAAAGTGACAACTGCTGATCTGTATACATTTTCTGTGACTCAAATTCTAGAAGCCAGGGAATGAATGGTATGAATTGATCATGACAACCAGACACTTGCAGCAGCAGCAGCAGCAGCAGCTTCCAAAGGCTGAATGTACAGCAGTCAAATCATGAGAACAAGTCCAGGCCGACTATAATAGGATCTGTCCATGGTGCTGAACCGGCCGCTGGCTGCCTACATAGATTTAGTGGTGACACCTCTACATCACCCATTATTATTATACAGGATTTATATAGCGCCAACAGTTTGCGCTGCGCTTTACAATATAAGGAAGACATTACAATACAATTCAAGACAAGATGGAAAGGAGGGCCCTGCTCGTCAGGGCTTATGATCTAAAAGGCAGTGGCAAGGGATACATGAGGAGATATACTGCCATACTGCTGAGCTGTGTTTAGGGTGAGAAGGAGATCAGAGATCATCTAAATCCTCTACAGTCTGTGTCAAAGCTATTTACATGTATAATAATAATAATAATTGTGTGTGACTGTGGTGGAACATTAGAGTGTAAGCCCCTCTGGTGCAGAGACTGATGTGACTTGCTCAG